CATTATTATATTACTGACATGGATCTTTATATCATTCAGTGAAAATAATAGTGAATTTGGTTCCTATTAGCTAAGGAAAGGAAGCTGAGTGAATGCAAAGCAGTGTGATCCAAGGGTAACAAGCTGTCTACTGGAAACATATTCATTTGATGGAAGATAATTGAAGCACAAAATTTGCAAATCTCTCTTACCAGACAAGATATGACATTATTTTTGCAGAATGCAAAATATAGCAGCTGTGTATGCAAGAATATCATATTTGTTATGCTGTTTCAGAAGGTTGTACAGAAAAAATTGATGATAAAGGATGGATAGTTGTTTTATGAAAAGGAACACAAAACCTGAATAAGCATTAACCTTGCCTAAGACAGCTTTTGTGCAGCATATGAAAACTCTAAGATAACTTCAGGAATTAACCGAGTTTAATTCATTGTGTTCTTGTTTTTCCTATAAAACAGAAAATATAAACAAATGAACCAGAGCAAAAAGAAAATAAATACTTTCTTCTTTTGAAAAAATTCTAGATTTTTGTTAGGACAATTACATTTACTAAATGACCTTAGACCAATCCTCTAAAATGTCTATAACTCTTCTGAATTGTTCAGTTCTGAAAGCATGTATGTCATAGATCTTGGCAGAAAATTAGAACAAACTCTAAAACACCATTCAGTTTTGTTTTAACTTTAGTTTCAACTATCAATGCTATTTTAATCTCCTCAGATTAGTCCACCAATATAATTTCAGTCTCTGGAGAAACTTTTTGTAATCAAATTTTAGATACATGTATTTAACATGAATTATATAAATTATTATAAAACCACTCATTGGATAGTTTCTGTAGAGATATGGCCAGAGTTAAAAAATAACTATTTCACTAGGATTTTGATTTTTGCTGACAGCAAAAATTCAACACATACAAGTAATTATTTCAAATTTCAATACACACAGATCCCACAAAACTGCATAATCTTTGAGTAATGGAACCCTATATGCAGGAGTGTAAATGTACAGTTCAAAGTTAATATTGAACAGTATTATTATCATCATCTTCTCCAGATTGGCCAATTTGTATCAAACCAAACTGGAGGTCTTATTAAAACATAAAGCACCTTTGCCAGTTAAATTCTTTATTCAATACAAGTGGTGTGTTTTAGATTTAGTCATGAATTTCCATAAACACCTGGCCCAAATGACCTGAAAAATATTATAATTACTTAGAGTCTCAGATATTAGCACCACAAAAGATAGTTAACATAACATAAATTTTATCCCAGTTTTCACTGTTAGAATTTTTCTTCAAATTTCTTGTTCATTACTTTGTTCTCCCATCTTCCCCCATTCCTTCATTCCCTACTTCCTTTCAGTTTTGTTCCTTTAAATTTTTCTTCCCTTCATTGACTCCTACCTTGCCTGTTAATGGTTACATGGAATAAAAGTTGTATGGAAAATAGTATAAACATACATTCCTTTTCATCAAAAGTCATATAAGAAGATTATTACATATTTTTGTTTGACAAATTTTGCTTGTAAGCAATTACACTTAAACATATGTTAAAAAGGGAATAGCATTTATCAGTCAGATTTATATGATAGTAAAATACATGTTAAATCCTATGTATGTTATTATTTTGAACTTTTAGGAAGTAAACTTTTAACTTCATTCAAATTCTACTTTTAAAGTTTAATTTGTATATAATTAATAATTAATGTGTATATGATTAATTTGTATATAATTATAATAATAATATAATTAATATATAATTTGTATATAATTATAATCTCCATTCCTCAGAAAGATAGTCTATTTCCTAGTCTAAAACTTATCAGTAGAATTGCTTAATTTTTCAAATGGTCACATAATCATTTTCTAATAAAGTTTTAATTTTAACTTTCATCTTCATTTGCTTAACATAGTTCACTTAGTAAAATTATTTGCACTTCAAAACTCTAGCTGCCCCTTATATCCAAAGATGGGGATTTATTTTAAAAAAATGAAGAAGAAAAGCTTAGTATAAAATAAAAAAAATAAATTTCAAATTCTAAATCTACTAAAAGCTAGTTCATTCAAATGCTATAAACTTGTAGCATTTCTCAGACTAATACATGGCTTCATTGATGATTAAATTATTATCTGAATCACTAACTCAATCCTATCTTCTCCTTGGGCCATAATGTTGATTGTTTTCATCACTGTACCTAACTTATGATTCCTTGTGGTTACAAATCATAACCTATCTCCAGATTGCAATATGTTAAAAATGGAAACTCCTCATCACATTTCATTCCATTATCCACCAACCAATCTACACTTACCAAAAAAAAAATTTCTGAATTAAATGATCCAGCAAATTTGTAGGTGGGTTAAGGCATACAAGTTATTTTTCTTTTGGGTCTGAACACATCATAGTTGAGGTAGGTAACCATTTGCTACGTAATGAGGACCATATCGCAATAAACCCTATTTGCTCTGTCCTCTAACTTGCTCTATATATTCTTATCTCAGGTCAGTGGACATTGATTATTTATTGGTTGCTGAGCATCTTTTTCTTATTAATTTTCAATAGATTCCAAGTTCCTTGAGAAAAAATTTCCTCTGGCTAAATGTGAGGGACTTTGGACTTTAAAGGTTCTGTACTTTCCTCTGGTTAGGTGACTGGTGTGACCCAAGTAACTCAGTTGGAGGTTCTGCAGAGTCACAAAGTATGCAGATAATAATGTATTACAAAGAGACTTGATTAGCTCCTGGTAGTCATGTGTCCAGGCATATTCAGGTTGTTTCGTTTTTCTAGTTCTTGCTCCTTGCTTATATCTGTGTTCATCTATATTATTTAATTTAATAAAATAATGATTTATGTTGCTTTCATCCAAAGAACCTTGACAGACAACTAACTAAACTATATCTTGATATCATTATTCTGCTAAAAAAACAAAAAAGCCCTTAATGATAGTCAGTATATGCCAAGGCCCTCAAAGAAGTTCATTTGTTATGGGACCCCCATTGCATAGCCTTACTCTTGTCTGTTTAGTCTCATCATTTTTATTATCATAACTTGAACTGCCATGACAACATATCACAACTTCGGCAACAAGTGGCTTTCTTCCATCTCTTTTGTAAAGAGAAATTTGTTCCTTCTGTTTGTTTTGTCACCGTTTCCTCTAAATAATTAATTCTAATCTGTTGTCCAATGTTTTGCTTAACTTCTTTAAGAAGTCATTCCTAATTGTGTTATCTTCCATGGTTACATTTTCACTGGATTTAGTTCTGAGATTAATACCCAAACAAACTCAGGGGAGTAGAAAACCATATTTAATAGTCAGGACTCTGGAACTAGACTCCTCAAGTTCAAATACCATCACCCTCGCTCCCTTTAACTTGGGCACAAGTATTTAATTGTATAATTGTATTTGTTTCTGAAATTATTGTAAACATTAAATGCTGTGCATAACATACTATATCTTATAATGTGTGATCAGTGACTAGCATAATATGAGTGATAAATAAGTTGTAGCTATTATTCTAAAATATATCTATGGTGGTTACAATAAAATCAGTGCCCATATGCTCATAGGTTTAAATCCTTGGTTCCCATTTAGTTGACTTTTGGGAAAGATTAGGAGCCTTGCTAGAGTAGGTTGGCTTTGTTGGGAAAATTGTGCCACTGGTAGTGGGCTTTGAGGCCCAGTGAGTGTCTTTCTCTCTCTCTGTCTCTCTTTCTCTCTCTCTCTCCCTGTCTCTGTCTCCTGCCTGTGGATCAGGATATGAAGCTCTCAGCTACAGCTCCATTAACCTGTCTACTTGCTTCTCATCATGAAGATAATACACTCTCTAAAAGTGTAAGCAAGCCTCAAATTAAATTTTTTCATTTATAAAAGCTGACTTGTTCATGGAGTCTCTTTTCTTTAATAGAAATGTAACTAAGACAATACCCCACAGTATTTTTTTTTCATTCCAACATTTTAAATGTTTGCTTCCCTATATATCATGAGCACTTGAGGTAACAGCTCAATAAAAGTCTTCAATACAATAGTGGCTAGCTTTTAACTCAAATTTTTTCTTGAGATCCCTAACCACCACATCAGCTTCAAAGTCGTTTAAATGTTACTAATTTCAAGTCATCAAATTCATTTTATCAATACTGAATTGCTGAAGTTCCCTTAGCTCTGAGTTGTTCCCTACTTGACATTCAAAAGAAAGAAAAAAAGTTTCTGTAAAATTCATCAAAACACATTTAGTACAACTTATTGTTTCTTTAGAAATACTTCAATTAAAATGGTTATCATGTATAAAACTTGCAAAAGTATTTCTTACCCATAAAGGAAAACAAAACCACGTAGCATCCAGGTAAAGATTATAGCAATGGGTTCTTGAGTTTCTAATTGATTGGATAATTTTACCAAACATATTTCAATGAGGGTGAGAGCTTGCGTTATTAAAATATGTTTATTTGAATATGGTGAGGCATAAAACCTAATATTGAAATCCAGAGTATTTAAAATGTGTTGCATTTTTTAAAATTTGTCTGATTTATTTGTAACTCTCAATTATCCTTACCTCTTGAGGTAGAATACTGGCACAGACAATTCAGAGGAGTGGATAACAAACAAGTCCCAGATTATTATCTTTGCCTTTGTAATATGTTATGCTTGCATAGTGACAAAACAGTTTAAATGTAATCAGCTCAATTGAGCTATTTTGTATTAAAGGCATTTGAAATATCACTTGTTTAGTGAATTTAACCTAGCCATCTATACTTGTAATGTTTATGTGTTTTGCTCTCAACCCATGCTGAATTATGGTGACTTTGGATAATTAATTCATGTTTTTGATCATATTTGGGTTAAACGGAATAGTGCGAGTAGTGTGTTTGTTAACAACAACAACAACAAAAGGTAGCCTAAGAACTAGTGGTAAACCATAAGGGAGAGGAAAATGATAAGTGAAAATGCATACTTTAAAGAAAAATCTCTGGCATGTTTTCTATTTATTGTTTTGTCCATACCTTTTGTTTGATGATCATCTCATTGATGTCTTCCAGATCACCCACCATCACCCGCTGTGATTTTATAACTCGATCAAGCAGAGAAAGCCAGTCCGTAAGTTCTGTCCAAGCTTGGTTGAAGTCTGCCAGAGCAGGTACCTCCAACAGCAAAGAAGATGGCATTTCTAGTTTGGAGATGGCAGTTTCCTTGGTAACCACAGGCTGTGTCACTAGAGTAACAGTCTGACTAGAAGCTAATGTTTTTGAAAGAAGGAAGAAAAGAAAAGAGGAAACATGAGAAACATAAACAAAATAGCCAATTTCAGTAACAATAAAGGAACATTAGCTGATAGTCAACAGTTTGAGTCAAGATTTCTGGCAATATATCTAACACTGGATACTTTATAGGGCATATATCATAGACAATTCAAACATTTTAAATAATATTTGAAGATATTTATCTTATTTTTATGCCTTAACAATTTAAATTTTTTCAGTAAAAATCATATAGATCATGAAGTTTATAAACAATGTTCTTGGGACATTTCAAAGTAAGATTTATTTATTGCTCATTCAAATATGAAAAGGATAACCTAAAGATTGTATAAGGTCATGTTTCTGAATTCTGGTTTACTTGAATAGTAAAAGTACATAGTGGGCAGAAACTGTCTCTTACAGTGGGAACACTTAACATTTTATCTACTGTTTTGGCATTAAAGTAGGTAACAGTGAAGAAAAAACAATGTGTATTATTTTTGAAAAGTGATAGGTAGTAAAGCTTTCCTTTTCAATATGAAACACTATTTCAAGGTCATTTAAATGCTAAATTAAATTTAATAGCATTGAGTACTTTAATGGATAAGATGTGAAGTATCCGGGTGAGACACATGGGTGACAATCCTGCTGTCTGCCTCAGGAAATCTGAGACCTTGGTTAATATATTCAAGCTCTCTAATCTTTAGCTTTTCATCTTAATAATGGAAGGAAAAAAATAACCGAATAAATATTGCAGTTGAAGTTGTCTGAACTCAATGATAATACAAGCAATGTATACCCAGCAATGTCATACAATGTCATTATTGTTGTCATAATCTTCATCTTCTTCTTCATCATCATTGTCCTTATCGTCATTATCACAATATTAATGAGGTGATAATAAGCTAGGTAATAATGTTAAATATTGTTGTTTTAAATACTTGGTTTACTACAAAGTACTTTTAAAAATATGGTGAGAAATGAGTGATGAAAATTGGAAACAGAAAATTGGGGGAAACTTGTGCAGTCTATATGCTACCCTCTATTGACTAAATGTTGCTGAGATGAATTTGCTTGTTTGAAATGATTACTGGTAACAATCTACAGAAGGATGATCAGACGTCAGTGACAAAAGCAAGCAACAGTTAACCTGTTTTAAAGACAAAGTTGACAGCAGCATCATAAACAAGAGTGCAGCAGCAATTAAATACTGGACTATGTGGTTCAGAAGGGAAGCTTTCAGAGAAAGCTGGAAATGCCATCTTGGTAGAAGATCTCATAGGTGTAGAAAAGGGAGCTATTCAAACAACATAAAAAAATAAGCTGTGCACATTTATACTCTGAGGTGGCAATGTGTTCATTTCAGTGGTTGTATTATTGTTCATACTTTTTAGTATCATTAAAAAGATGGGAGAGGTGAAAGAATGCTTATTCTAAATTCTCAGGGACATCTAGAACTTTGCACAAAAGAGTAAGGCAGAATGAAAAATGTTGAACATGTCAGAATTGAAACATAATGCATAAAAGTAATAAGTAAAAGGGGAACACTGAGGAAATTAAAAGACATTCTTTTTCAAGACATCACACTACTATGAGGGCATTTCTGAAAAGAAAGAAGCCGACATATTATGTTGTGGTCTATAGTACAGAGTTGCTGATACACTCACACCTTCCTCCCCTATTGTAAATTAGGACTAGGAATTATAAAATCAATTCCAGCTAAGGAGGTGGACTGGAAATGATGTATGGGTATGGTTGAAAAGAGCCAAGAATAAAACTATAACTGTAGAATTTCACTGTAGTTCATTAGGGGTGATGGAAGACATGCTCCAAAAGTAAATACACACTGACTTATAAGCATTATAGAACAGACTAAGAAGATTTCAAGGTTTTTTTCTGACAGTTCTTCCCTTAAGTTTTATATTGTTTGAAAAATTCATACATAGATATACTAAGTTTTAATTAACTGCACCATCTCCCATTTTTTCTCTTTCAACTGCTCCTCTACCCTCAATCCCTTTTCCTTCCCAATTTCAAGTGCTTAAAAAACAGAATTAATTTGTGCTGTGTGTATATATGTGGGCATAGGATGATCTGCTGGAACATGTGTCATTATCAGAGTTCACATCCCTGAGGAAACCCCTCTCTGTCTCTCTCTCAGCAGCTATTAAATGCCCATAGCTTCTTAGCTTCTTAGTTGTGGGTGGCGGTGGGACTTTCTGATATTCTCCAGACTCTATGCTGGGATTTTGACTGTTCTGATCATGTGCAAGTCTTGTACATACAGTCATAGATATTGTGAATTCATATTTTCAATGGCCTTACTCTAGTCCCAGAAATTACACTTTGCTGCAGACCTCTATTACTAGTTGTTATAATCTTTCTACCCCATCTCCAATGAAGATACCAAAATCTTAGGGGGGAGAGGTATGTAATATGCAAACTCCTATTAGGTAAACATTGTCCATTTGTGGGCAACTGTATTGACTACAAAAATTCTCTAATGAAAGCTGAGATCTGTACTATGCTATGAATACAGAAATTTGTATTTAGAAGGTAGTTAGATACTAAGTCCATTTAGCACAGTAATATTTTTATTGTCTATGATCTAAGCAGCTACAGGTTTCTCATCTATCTACATGTACCACACATGAGTTCTGTCTTATGGAACAGATTTTATAACTGGTTATTAGTATTCATGCCACAATCATATCAGTGGACTTACCTTACTAGGCCAGTCATTATTTAACTTACGGTGTAATACCTTTAAACTATGACTAATATCATTTCTCCCTGAGTTGCGTATGTAGAACTTTTCAACACTATAAAAAACTATCAAGATGGTTGATGTAAGGAAGACAGGGAGTTAATTTCTCTTCAAGGTTATTACGACAGATAACTCTAACATGGTCCAGTGGATGCCCAAGAGAATATAGGCAGCACTAATTGTACTCAATGGATTATCATTTTTTATGAGGACATAAAATCAGGTTGGTATGGAAAGGAGAATAATCAGAGAGGAGCTGTGGGATACCATCACTATAATACATGACATTTCTAAATATTTCATTAAAATATGTAGTTTCAAAACCTATATTCCTTAAACATTTTCGTATATTTAAGTCATGTCTGTAGTGAATCATAAATTTCACTACAGACTGTAACTATAAGTTTCCAGAAGGGCAAAATATACTATACATCTAAGTTTTTTGCTATTTGGGTTATTTTAACTATTTCCTTTAAATATTTATTTTAATTTGTGTATATGTATGTTACATGACTTCTTAATATGCCAGAGCAAAGTGCAGAGAAAAAATCCCCATGTGCCATACTTACTGTTGGTAAAATAATAGAATGTGATTTATTGTATAGTACAACATCAGCTACTTAGGACAATTCCTTGATGTCAATAATATTCTTATTGCATTGGTAAAGACTGAGGATGAGATGTACAGTTTAGCAACAATGACACAATATTTTACTTTACCATTAGTAATAGAGATTACCAATCTAATGCTGTGTTTGAACAAATGGTCAGGACAACCAACTATCCAAGAGAGAGATATACTGTCACAATCACACAGTATAACTGAAACTCAAGAGGGTTTAAATAATTCGCCAAAGGTTACACAGCTAAGATATGGCAGAATAAGTGTTTAATACCAGAAATCTAGACTTAAAATGATTTTTGTTAAAGTAATTCCTTAACCCATGTTTTTTCAGCTTAAATGAAAGTCAGTGAGATGTGTTGATGAGTAAATATACTTTTCACTGAGCCTTACAGCTTGAGTTTGATCCCTGTGGCCACATGGTGAAAGGATAAAAACCTACTTCCACAAGCTTTCCCCATTCATGTGTGCCATTGTCAAGTGGTTATTGGCTCTTCAGTAGCATTGTGTTATAGAATCTATATTCTGAACCTAGATTGAAACCCCAGCATCAGATCCCTCTTCCATTCTAGTGTACTTCTGTATACTTGATTCTGCATCATCCAATTGACACAAGTCATTAGACACTTTTATATCCTTCCACCCCCTGTTTTTTCTTTAAACTTTTTTTTTACCCATTTCCACACAAAATGTCATATCCTCTTCAATTATTGAAGGCAAATGTGTCTTATTTCAAAGGATCAGGTTCAGTTTCTAAAAGAAGTTTCAATCAGGCAGAAAACAGCACTTCTGGAACACAAACATTGTATATTGCTTAACATTTTCTTGTTTAACAAACCTACATGCAAGAAAAATGTGTATTATTTATAGTCTCCACATTCTATACCAATCTACAAATTGGAATATATACTCTATTACTTTGTATTACTTGTGCTGTATATCATATTTCTCTTACTCTCATTCCCTTGTTTTGCTTTGTTCTCTTATCTTCATATATTTACCTTTTTAAAGTTTGCACGTATAAATCTTATCATTCAGGTTTTTTTATATATGGTTTATTTCACTTAGCATAAAGTCCTTAATTCTCATCTGGGTTGTAGGTAATGACAGCCCCTTTGTGGATGCTCTAAATGATATGTACATATCAACCTTAAATGCTAACGACCACATGAAATGTTACACTTCCTGGGTCTGGGTTACCTTAATCAGGATTTTTTTTCCTAGCTCCAACTACCTACCAACGAATTTTCACTTTTCTTTTAATAGCTGAATAACATCCTATCATGTACTATAGTTTCATTTACCATTCATTTGTTGATGGACACACATCTAGGCTGTTTCCAATTCCTGACTATTATGAACACAGATGAGATAGTATCTCTGTAGTAAGATGCGCTGTCTTTTTTGTATATGCCCAAGAGCTTATAGTCTTTGGAGGAAGAAAAAGCTACAACAAATTCCATAGTTGCTGTACCAGTTTGCAATTCAAGTAGCAATGAATATGTCGCTCCCTCATCCTCATCAAAGAAACTTATTCCTCCAGTAGATGGTAATTAAGATACAGACCCATAACTGGGCACTGTGTATTAAATAATTAAGGGACTTTGGAA